GAGTACTGGGAAAATGGAGACAATTGTATTCAAACATTAATTTAAAATGATTTAAAAATTCTTTTAAACTGTAGAAAATATTCTTGTAGTTCTTGAGACAAGAACTTGTCTCAAAATCAAAACAAGGCAAAGTACAGAGGATTTTCAAGCCAGTGAAACTACTCTGTTTGATAGTATAATGGTGGATAAATGTCATTTTACATTTGTCCAAATCCAAAGAGTAAACATCAAGAGTGAGCCTTAATGTAAACTATGGACCCTGGATAATAATGATGTTTCAACATAGGTCCATCAATCATAACAAATGTACTCTAGTGGAGGATGTTGCTAATAGGGGAGGCTATGTACATTTGGGGGCAGCAAGTAAATGGGAAATCTCTGTACCTTCTGCTTAGTTTTGCTATGAATTTAAAACTGCTATAAAAAATAAAGTCTATTCAAATTTGTAATAGCATAATCAATTATTATTGAGAATTAGGAAGAGAAATGCTCTGTATACAGAACATTCTTATTGCTTGAAGTTTTTGCCATTACTATACCTCACTTAAAAGTTTTTCTTAGTGCCTTGGCATGGTTCAGTGGATTGAGGACTGGCCTGTGAACTGAAAGTCTGCAGGTTCGATTCCTGGTCAGGGCACATGTGCTTGGGTTGCAGGCCAGGTCCCCAGTTGGGTGCATGTGAGAGACAACCCGTTGCTGTTTCTCTTACCCACACATACACATTGATGCTTCTCTTCCTCTTTCTCCCTTTCTTTCCCTCTCTCTAAAAAATAAATTAAAACTTTACAAATATTAGTTGGATAAATTAATAAAAAACAAAATTAACCCAAATAGGCATAAGAATAAATATGACATGAATAGTCCTAACAGGTACCAAATAAAAAAACTTTTTTCTTTGCAAAAAATTTTTAAAGAATAAAATGTAAAATGTAATACAATTTTATCTATAGAACAGACAATATGTCAAATCTAAAAAAGTTTCAAATGATATAAATGAGGATGTCACTTTTTCCATGACATTTAATAATTACATGATTTTTAAAGTAGAACTAAGATCTTGGTCAGTAGTCAGATGTTAATTAAAATTATTTGGTCACTGAAAAATATATAGAGAGAGGTATAGATATCTATATCTATGCATATATAGATATATATATACCATATCATTATGTTGTATGCCTGAAACTAACATAATGTCATACATTATACATAAATTTTAAAAATAATTTTATCAGCAGTAAATCTAATACCTTTGCTTCTTCGAGTTCCTTGTCAGCAGTATCCACCACAAAGTTTTTCTCTTTTTCTAGTTGCTCTGTTAATTGGTCAATTTTAATCAATTCTTTACAAAGATGCTCATTGTGGCTGGTTAAATCGTCTATTTGACTGCTTACCACCTCTTTACTATCCAAGAGTTTCCTAACATATTCTTCCAAGCAATGATTGGTCTGTTTGAGATCTTCAATCTGTTATAATTGGAAAGAAAATAATCAAATTAAAATATTTCCTTAGCTTCCATTTGAGGAGTACAACAATGCAGAAATGCAGGTTTGCCTCCCTGGCAAGGAGACTCAATGACATATCTTTTTTACTTTATGAATTTTGTGCCATGTGAATATTTTCCCTATCTGAAAAATATACCAAATGAAAATTTAAAGGTTTATAGCTATATCTTTCAAGACAATTTACAGTTTAATAAAAATTACTATTGATTTTTAACCAAACTATTAGAAAAATTATCAAATATTTATATCTGCAAAAAAGAAACCAGTCTTAAAATTATTGAATTTTAATAATGAGCATCAATTAGGCATTCTTTATCATTAAATTTCTACTTATTGTTATCAAAACATGTTAACACTTTAGAAAAGTCCTGTTGAACATATCAATAACTTACTTGACTAAGCTAAATACCAAATCAATCAAGTACTTGCTGACTAAGGTGGAGGACCACAACTTTCCTTCCCAGCCCACTAGCAAACCATCAAGGGATGAAGAAAAGGGCCTTTCTATCATGAAGGCATCAAAATGACTTTAAAGGGAAATAGATATATTAGACCCACTGAATGATGATTATATGCCAGGAACTATGTTAAATTCCAAAGATACAAAACCATGTTAGGTACCTGCACTCAGAGAATTTATTGCTTACTTGAGAAAATGTAAGTATAATATGTTAAATGCCATAAAAGAAATATCTATGAAATAAAGTAGTGGTACAAAGATCCTTTTCCATAGTATTTGTCTCTCATTGTGTATTTAACATTTATTGAGAACCTACTATATTCAAGGTAGTGTTTTAGTGCCTTCTGGAAGATGTACAAAGACAAAAGAAAAAGTCTTGATATTTAAAGAGCATCTTAAATTGCTATATCCCTCATCCAATTTTATACTTGGTTCTAACATTATTCTTGCCCTGACCTTGCCCTTTTCAAGTAACTATATAGTTCTTCCCAGTTCATCAAAATCAACAAAATTTTCTTTAAAAACATAAATTTTATCTATAACTTGTCCCTATATAATAAAATCCTAAAGGTTATAAACTATATTTAACTATACTACAATAACATTTATTGCACTCAATACATGTCCAGAAGCAACATAAAAGCCATTATTTTAATCTACCTCTCCCTTTACCATTTTTAATGATCAAATCCAAGAAACCAGAAAAAGTCTGAAGAATTTTTTTTAAAGAGCTCTGGCTGGTGTGGCTCAGTGGGTTGAGCACTGGCTGCAAACCAAAGGGTCGCTGATTTGATTCCCAGTCAGGGCACATGCCTGGGTTGTGGTCTAGGTCCCCAGTAGAGGGCGCATGAGAGGCAACCACACTTTGATGTTTCTCTCCCTCTCTTCCTCCCTCCCTTCTGTCTAAAAATAAATAAAATATTTTTTAAAAGAGTATGGGGGGTATGGTGGTTACAAATACACATATTTCCTTAGCTGAGTCCTTTATCACACTTGCCTGAATTTTTAGCAATACCTCCTACTCTCTTCTCCTTTGGCCTTCTCCCACATACAGATAAAAAGCCTTTGAAAACAAAAATGTGAGGGAATTCCTGTAACCTGTGGTGCTTCAACACACTGATAATGAAATAAAAGAATACCATTTGTGATCCCAGCCCTACTGACCTATCCAGCCTAACTACCCACCATATCCAGTACATACCTAAGCTTCAGACATACTCTCCAGAAGACAATCTCACTAAATTCATTTTTAAACCTGTATTAGAGAAGTTATTGAAAATCTAATACACTATGTCACTGAACCCTTTTTTATAAGAATCCTCAGGGAACACTTGGTTCTCTGGGATATTTCAGGAATGTAGTTCTTTTGAATAGCCAGTTTGTTCCTATGCTATGGACTGTGAATTATTTAAGTAAAATTTCCTTTTTCCCTTTGTTTCCAGGAATTTTAAAGCCAATCTGCAGACCATTTCTAGCAACTACTACAGAGGTCTGTGGAATGACTTTCTGTGTGTTCTATTCTCATCCCATGCTTTCACCAAGTCTATTTTCCCCTATTCTTATTATCTAAACTATTTTCATTACTAGCATTTTTTAAACTATAGGATGTGGGGTAAACAAATAGACAAACTTCAATCTATCTATTCTACATGTTACTTTGTCTTTGTTTATAACTTCTATAGTGCCACATTTCTGAGCAACTAGAATACACTGTTTGCTAATCTTCCACTGTACTAGGAGAAATTAAAGGCTCTTCCTCTCTGTGCTTCCATAAAACCTCTTAGTTTTATCTTAATATTTTATAAGGTGTATTATAGTCATTTTTCACCTCCCTGTCACTTCCACTAAATTATAAGCAACTTTAAAAGATGTTTATAATTTCTTATTTAGCATAACTCTCATTTTTGTATCATTATATATTTAGTACATAAATATTATCATTAGATAAAGCAAATAAATTATAAATAAATGCATGAACGCTCCCCTCACCTCTGACATCAAGTTCTACTTTCACACATTTCCAAGACACAAATACTTTAGAAGAGGCACTTTAAAGTAGTAGAAGGGGATGTGGGCTTTGGACTAAGGCAGGCAGGTTTAAATCCTGCTGCAGTCCTTTACCGGTAATTTAACCTCAGGCAATTTACCATATTTTCTTGATCCTAAGAGGTGCATCTTGACTTCAGAAAAAATAAATGGAAGCCTCTTGAGTCTCATCTGTTAAATGGAGAGAATATCTACAATTTGCAGGGTTGTATATAAAGAGATATTAAAGTTCAAGTAAAATTTCTGGCAGATAATAGGTACCTAAAAAGTAGCTTTTCTAATAAATTTTTTTAAAAACTTATTTTGAAATAACTTGCATCACAGGAAGTTGCAAATAGAGAGTTCTCATGTACCCTTAACTCAGTTTCCCCCAATAGTAGTTATACTTTAATTATAGTACAGTATCAAACCCAGAGATCTAACTTAAGTATAATGTGTGTGTATTGCTCTATACCATTTTATCACATGTAAATTATAACTACCACCTCAATAAAACACAGAACTATTCCATCACCACAAAGACTGCCCTCCTGTTACCCCTTTATAGTCACATCCTCCCCCTCCCAATATGTAACTTTTTTAGGGTGCAGGGCATTGGATTTATTGGTGGGTATAAGTAAAGAGGGGGCAGTGCTAACATTATCAAGTACAGAGAGAGCCCACTATTTGTCCAGGGGGCCATGATTATGGATATATTTGATCCCAGTCATTTGAGATTAGCTGTTTTTCAGCCACCATACCTTCATATTCATCTACATTAAACTTAGTAAAGCCCCACTTCTTGGAGATGAGGATCTTCTGGCAGCCAGGTAACTTGAACTTGGCCCTGTGTGGGGACTCATTCACATGCTCTTTGTTCTGCAACTTGGTGTGGATGGACACAATGACTTGGCCAATATGGACCCTGGCCACTGGGCCCTGGGGCTTTCCAAAAGCACCCATATAGATTGGGAATAGCATGAGATCAGAAATGAATGTTCACTGGAATGGGCTGTCTCCAAAGTCCTTCAGGGCAAACCCATACAAGCAACAGGCTACATACACTACTGAGGAGGATGCCGCTGTTTGCGGCCATTGTACGCTGGGCTCCCATTGGGGAAAAGAGCATGGTCAGCCTAACTATAGACTACCCTAACTCTTAGCAACCATTAATCTCTCTAATTGTGTCATTTTGAGAACATTATATAAATTAAACCATGTGATACAGATCATAGTATGTGATCTTTGGCTATTGGCTTTTTCCCTCAGCCCAGTGCTCTTTAGATCTAACCAAGTTAACAACTTGGATCAATAAATAGTTGATTCCTTCTTATTGCTGAGTAATATTCATTCCATGGTAAGGATTATCAGTTTGTTTGTTTACCAATTAAGAGAAACTTTAGTTGCTTCTAGTCTTTGGCTATAACAAATACAGCTGCTATGAACAATGTATACAGGTTCCTGAGTGGACATAAGTTCTTGTATGGTAAATGTACATTTACCTTTGTAAGAACTAAAATATTTTTCCAGAGTGGCTGCACCATTTCTCAGTCCCACCAAAAATGTATGAATGATTCAGTTTCTCCACATCTTTGCCAGCATTTGGTATTGTCACTATTTTTAATTTTAGCTATTTTTATAGGTTTGCATTATCTCATGATCTTAATTTGCATTTCCCTGATGTTCAGAATGGCTAAACATCTTTTTATGTTTGTCAATCATATATCCTTCTGCAAACTACCTCTTCATGTCTCTTGCTCATATTCTATTATTTGCTTTTTACTATTCAGGTTTGATGAGTTTTTCATGTGTTCCAGGTATGATTCCTTTGGCAGAATATGGTTTGTAGCTTGTTATTTTCATTCTATTAACAGGGTCTTTCATAGAGCAAAAGACTTAAATATTATGAAGTCAAAATTAATTATTTTTATGACTCATGCTTTTGTTGTCATTTCTAAGAATTCTTCAGCAAGCCCAAGGTCCTGAATGTCCTGAATATTTTTTCCTGTTATCTTCTACTTGGTTTTACATTTTATACTTAATTCTATGACCCATTTGGAGTTAATTTTTGTTTAAGGCATGAAGTTTAGAACTAGGTTCATTTTCTTCCCCTAAAAGATATCCAATTGCCCCAGCAGCATTTGTTGAAAACTGTCTGCCCTAATCAAACTGCATTTACACCTGTCAAAAATAATTTGGCTGTGCTTGTGTAGGCTATTTCTGGATTCTCTATTCTGTATTATTCATATATGTCTATATCTCTTGCAATACCATAATAATTTTTTTGGAATCAAGAATGACTCTACTTCATTCTTTTTCAAATTGCTTTTTCTGGGATTTTGATGGGCAACGCATTAAATCTGTATATTGATTTGGACAGAATTGACATCTTTACTATACTGAGGCTTCCAATCCATGATCATGCCTTTCCACTGGTTTAAATCTTTGATTTCATTAGAATTTTGTATTTTCAGAATATGAACTCATACTTATCTTATTACATTTATATGTAACATTTCCACTTTCTATTTGAGTAATAGTTGATTACTAATATACAGAAATATAACTAATATGTTTGTCTTGTATTCTGCCCTTGCTGAAGTAATTTACTAGTTCTAGTTTTTGTATTGTAGATTTTATGAGATTTCCTAAATAGAAGAACATGTCATCTACAAATAGGGACAGTTACTTCATTTCAGATCTGTGTACCTTATGACCTTTCAACCTAGCTATATTATTGTACTGAAAGGAAATTTCTTATAAATAGCATAAACCTAGGTGATGCTTTTTCAATCCACTCTGCAAATTTCCATCTTTTAAATGGATATATTTAGACTATATTTAATGTAATTACTTTTGTGATGCAAGGTGACTCTTTTGTTCACTTTTTTAAAAATATATTTTATTGATTATGCCATTACAGGTGTCCTATTCCCCCCTTCATTCCCCTCCACCCTGCGCACCCCTCCCCCACCATTCCCCCCTTTAGTTTATGTCCACATGTCTCAAGTTCTTTAGATTCTATATTTCCCATACTATTCTTGCCCTCTCCCCTGTCTATTTTATACCTACCATCTATGCTACTTATTTTCTGTACCTTCTCCCCCCTTCTCCTTCTCCCACTCCCCTGTTGCTAACCCTCCATGTGATCTTCATTTCTATGGTTTTGCTCCTGATCTAGCTGTCCTCTTAGACTGCTTTTGTTTTAGGTGTGGTTGTTAATAACTGTGTTTGCTGTCCTTCACTGTTCATGTTTCTTTAACTTCTTTTTCTTAGATAAGTCCCTTTAACATTTCATATAATAAGGGCTTGGTGATGATGAACTCCTTGAATTTGATCTTATCTGAGAAGCACTTTATCTGTCCTTCCATTCTAAATGAAAGTTTTGCTGGATAGAGCAATCTTGGATGTAGGTCTTTGGATTTCATGACTTGGAATACTTCTTTCCAGCCCCTTCTTGCCTATAGGCAAGGTCTCTTTTGAGAAATCAGCTGACAGTCTGATGGGAGCTCCTTTGTAGGTGACTGTCCCCTTAGCTCTTGCTGCTTCTAGGATTCTCTCGTTCATTTTAATCTTGGCTAATGTAATGATGATGTGCCTTGGTGTGTTCCTTCTTGGGTCCAACTTCTTTGGGACTCTCTGAGCTTCCTGGATTTCCTGGAAGTCTATTTCCTTTGCCAGATTGGGGAAGTTCTCCTTTATTATTTGTTCAAATAAGTTTTCCACTCATGGCTCTTCCTCTTCCCCTTCTGGTACCCCTAAAATTCTAATGTCGGAACATTTAAAGATGTCCTGGAGATTCCTAAGCCTCTCTTTTTTTTTTTTTGAATTCTTGTTTCTTCATCCTTTTTTTAAAAAATATTATTTATTTATTTATTTATTTATTTATTTATTTATTTTTACAGAGAGTGGAAGGGAAGGAGAAAGAGTGGGAGAGAAACATCAATGTGTGGTTGCCTCTCATGTGTCCCCTACTGGGGACCTGGCCTGCAACCCAGGCATGTGCCCTGACTGGGAATTGAACCAGTGACCCTTTGCTTAACAAGTCCGTGCTCAATTCACTGAGCTACACCAGCCAGGGCTATCCTTTTCTGTTTGGTCATTTTTTCTTCCTTCTGGTCCACTCCCTTGATTTGAGTCCCAGTTTCCTTTCCATCACTGTTGGTTTCCTGTGCATTTCCCTTCATTTCAATTAGTTTAGCTTTCATTTGTTTCTCTAATTTGTGACTAAAATCAACCAGTTCTGTGAGCATCCTGATCACCAGTGTTTTGAACTGTGCATCTGAACGTTTAGCTATCTCTTGGTCGCTTAGAGTTATTGGCTCTGGGGCTTCGAGTTCTTCTTAAGCCATAATGTTTTTATCTGTTTGTGCCTGTTACACCTATGAGGGGCAGAGCCCTAGGTGTTCACCAGGGCGGGGCAACTCAGTAGCTGGGTTGTGACATTGTATGGGGGGGGCAGGGTCAAAGAGGGGCAATAGCTGTCCCCTCTGCTGCTTCCTGGCACTGGGGCCTGCCCAGTCCATCTCACTGCTCACTCCTTCACCTGGTTTATCGGTCTGGCTGAATGGTTTGTTGTTGTCGGACTTCTGTATAGTTCAATTTTGTTTTGGTTGCGGTTTTTTTTTTTTTAAGTTATTTTTCAAGTACAGTTTTTTGTCTATTTCTCCCATCCCAGCCCTCCCACCCCATGCTCCCCACCTCCCTCCCATTTCCTCCCCCCCTAGTCTTCATCCCTGTGTCCTTCATACTTGTTCCTCCAAATCCCTTCCCTTTTCCCCCCTTAAATTCCCTTCCCTCTCCCCTCTGGTCACTGTCCCCTTGTTCTCTATTTCAGTGTCTTTGTTTTTATTCTGCTTGCTTGTTTGTTTTGTTGTTTAACTTCCTGTTAAAGGTGAGATCATATGGTATTTGTCTTTCAACACCTGGTCTATTTCACTCAGCATAATGCTTTCCAGTTCCATCCATGTTGTTGCAAAGGGTAGTAGCTCCTTCTTTCTCTCTGCTGCATAGAATTCCATTGTGTATATGTACCACAATTTTTTTGATCCATTCGTTTACTGATGGGCACCTAGGCTGCTTCCATCTCTTGGCTATTGTAAATTGTGCTGCTATGAACATTGTGGTGCATAGGTTGTTTGAAATTGATGTTCTAGGATTCTTAGGATATAATCGTAGCAGTGGAGTTGTGGTTGAGTTTTTGTTACTAAAACTTTGTTGTCTTTAAACTTGGTTGTACAAGAAGGCACAATGTTTCCACCTATACCTCCATCTCAGCCAGAAGTCCCACATTTGTGTTTTGTTTTTGCTGCTTTCCTGTGGATTACTTGAACATTTTTTAGAATTCCATTTTGACTTATCTACAGTGTTGTTGAGTATATCTCTTTGCATGGCTTTTTAGATGTTACATTATATAATCATAACTTGTTACAGCTTACATTTTACCAGTTCAAATGCTCCCTTTACTCTCCTCAATTCATAAAATGTCTTAAATATTTCCCCTACATGCATGGAGAACTACATTTGACAAACATAATTTAGATAACTAGAAAAAGAATCTATTGCATTTACTCATATTTCTGCTCTAAATATTGTTCTTCCTTCCTAGTCCTCCAACACTCCTCTTAACACTTTCTTCCTAGAGAGATTCCTTTTGCTATTCTTTTAGAGTAGCTTTTCTGGGAACAAATTCTATTAGCTTTCTTCATCTGGGAATGTCTTGATTTTCCCTTCCATTTTAAAGGATACTTTTGTGGATACAGAATACTGGGGTGACATTTTTCTTCCAATACTTGAAAAATGTTGTGCCACTTCCTTTTGACCCCATATTTTCAGATCTGATGTCATTTGAATTGGTGTTCTCCTCTACATAATGAACTATGTCTCTGGTTTCTTCAGGAATTCTTTTGTATCTTTAATATTCACGAGTTTAAAGTGTCTTGGCCATGCATATCTTTGGGAGACTCCAGGTAGGCATTCACTTACCTTCTTTAATGTCTTATGTCTCTTGCCAAATTTGGGGAATGTTTAGCCATTATTCCTTCAAATACCTTTTCAGCTTCACCCTTTCCTACCTATCTTGCTGGGGCCACAATGATCCAAATGTTTTATCTCTTGTTATGGTTCCACCTGTTCTGAGCCTCTGT